TAATAACACGACGAAATAATGAAGAAAGCATAGAGAACTACAAAGGGAAAGTGCGCCACATATTCAAGTCTCACCTTCGAGTCCCACGAGCTCTTCCGCTTGTGCTCCATTGCGACGGTCATTTTTTTCTGCTTGCAATCCCGCGCTTTGTCAGCGCTTCTCCAGCACTTGACCGACTCGAGAAGTCACAGAGATCATCGTGGATTTCCCTCGTGAGCGTATGAGTATCAATAGCGATGGGTGACCACGTAAAGACGATCAATTGTTCGTTTCCGTTTTTTTAAAAACCGCAAGCCTGGACAAGATGCATCTCCTGCACGCCTCCGACTTTACACTTTGGAGATATTAGCGTACCGTATGCTGCAAAAAAAAAATACTTAAAGAGACTCGTGCAATTATTCTCTAGGAAGTATCAGGATTATGATCAATCAATTATTTTTTCTCAATAAGTGCACGCTGATCGCCGTATTGTGGCGAGAGCGTGTAAATAACACGATCGGCCGTTTACCGCTGTTGAAACTTCCGTTCGGTATAAAGTGCCGTTCCTTGACATTTTTCAATAGGTCTACATTTATCGATTTATTATTATCATATTTATTGAAGCTAATATATATTAATTTAAATACCGTAATGAATATAATAGTTTCAAAGTTTTATTGAAAAAGTATAATGTAAAAGCGAATTTCTTGATTGATTAAGAGATAACAATTAAAAGTTTATATTAAAAATATTAATTCTATTAATATTGTATAATTTTATGCTTTGAAACAGAACTTAATATTTTATTGATGTTGCCTTACATTTTGTTAATATTGTTTTTGAGAAACAAATTGTTTTCATATATTATATAAATAATATTTTTAAATATTTTAATGAAAAAAAATAAATATTAAATCAATGCAATTTTTTTTACAAATAAACGATACATGACAAATTCTGAGTTGTACATAAAAAGTAATTATTTGTAACTTTTAAATATACTTATATGTAAGTTTTATTATATAAAAAAGAAAATATAAATTATTTTTAATTTCTAAAAATAGAAATTGCCACAATAAAAATCATGATTTAATATATAATTGAATAATTGCATAATCCAATAACATTGTCTTTTCTTAATTATAAACAAAGCAATACAACATAATAAAACAATTTCATTTACGGATTCATTTTCAATGATAAAAAATCTGTAAGAATCACTTTGTCCCATTCATGATCTAAAATCTATGTCGAAGAATATAATGGATAAACAAAGAATTGCTCAAGTCATACATGATGATATAGCTTCATGTATAATATAAAACATCCTCATTAAAATGCAATGTGTATCTAACGGTTTAAAACTTAATATATACTAGATTTATCTTATAAGATAATCGGTAAACGATCTTGAAATACAATTCCTTTAATCTTATTTCTTCTAACATTCGCTCCGGTGTAATAATCGTTACATAATTAAAGGGTCGCCTTTACACATAATTTGCATATATAGATACATTGCAATTTTTACAAGTTTTCATGTAAATATGTCAACAATATATCGATTCATATCGTATGAATGTATATCAATTGTTGCTTTAATATGAATAAAATTAATTGATCACTGTATTACAAATAATAGACATTCAGAATACAATAAATCGATTCTGTTCAATTTATGTCGTACCTAAACTGTTGAACATGCAAGTGAAGTTGATAGCGTTTCCAATTGATCACGTTATCCACAAGAAAAAAAAAAATGTTCGGTCACCTCACTGAAAATTGTTCACCATCGAACATGAATATAAAAAAAAAATACTTGGCAGTTATAGCGAAAACACACTCGAGAAAAGAGAACGACTGAGCGATCGCGCTGCGAACGAGACGTTCGCTACCTCGGTCAGGCGAACACTTCGATCGTCGAGAGGCAGACAGTTTCTCCAAGCCGGCCACGATCCAGGGGATTGTCCTGGACGTAGCAAGACTGCCAGGAGAACGGCGGCCTACCTGCCTGCCTGTCTCCTCGCTTCTCGTAGATGCACTTTCACGTCATTACTGGTTCTCCACGGGCGCCAGTGCGCACGAGGGCACAGTTACGGACAATACGGACTAGTATCCGAGGTAGCAAGGACGTTTCTTCCTGTTTCTTTTTGACCCTTTCTATTCTTTCCTGTCTTTCTATTTCCGTTTGTACTTTCATTTAACTTCCGACTTTATTCGTCTTTTAGAGACAGTATGAATCAATTTTTGTCAGCATAGTTTATTTATCTTACACACACACATACTGGAATTTACCCTTTTATATATATGTGCTGCATCTAGCAAAAACTTAATTTATAAAATATTATTTATTTACATATTTAAAATAAATAAACTATGCCGACAAAAACTCCATACTATCTCCATACTGTTTCTATGAGAATAAAGTTGAAAATTAAAGAGAGGTACAAACAGAAATAAAATTATACAGGGTGTTCCGAGAGTTTCTTCTAATCGCTTTTGCGTAGATAGAGCGGACTAAACTGAATCGAAAAGCCCTGCATCATTTTGCAAATTTCGCAATGGTTAACAAGATATTAATTTTTAAAGATAGCCGAATATTGGTCTTCAATAACTTTTTTCTCAAATACTATCACCTTTACAAAAAAATAGCGAAAGATAAAAATTGTTTATTTTTTTCTCATAAAGTTCTACTTAAATGTTTTTTCAGAATTTTTCTAGAATTTTTGAATACCGTATTTCTTATGTTCGCAAAAATAGTTGCCGATAAGAAAATGCAATACTAAAAAGTTAACAAAAAATTCTGAAAAAATTTTTATAGTTTTATGAGAAGATACACAATTTTTGTCCCTTGCAGTTTTTCTGTAAAGTTGATAACATTTGAGAAAAAAATTATTAGACCAATATACGGCTATATCTTCAAAAATTAATATCTGGTTAACCATTGCGAAATTTGCAAAGTGGTAGAGGACTTTTCGACTCAGTTTAGTTCGCTTTAACTACACAAAAGCGATTGGAAAAAACTATCGGGACACCTAGTGTGTGTGTATGTGTATATATATATATATACATATATGTACATATATATATATATATACACAAGGTGTCCCGAGATATATATGTATAATCGGGGAGAGTGGTTTTCATTATAGTTTGACACAAGTAAGAGATACGTTAAAATGATCTGAAGCAAAAATGAAGGAAATTAAGTGATTTTTCAAACGGTATCATTGGTTTTATGATCGGACTTTATTTACGCCTTGTAGAGAATAAAAACTGCAAATAGATTCGATTTGGACACGGGTTTTTTCGAACGATTGCTTGGAACAAATTTTACAATAAACCGCAAAAATATAGATAATCACAAAACTCTTGACATTTTTGAATTCTACACTCTTTAATTATCTTAAATCAACTACCGTTCAAATTTTTAACATCTTTTAAGTAATGATTTACAAGGATTTTCTTGTTTAAAAAAATTTTCGCATGATAGTTAAATATATTTGCATCTATTCTATGAACGTTATGACGGAGTACTGCCAAACTGCTATCACATGTTCAGTGTCTTATAAGGACTTTACATTATAAATAGCACGCACACACACACACACACACACACACACACACACACACACACACATACACACACGCACGCACACGCACGCACGCACGCACACGCACGCACGCACGCACGCACGCACACACACACAACACAAATTTGCTTTATTAAACCGTATTTATTTAAATTGAAAAGATTCGATTTTTGGAATACGATCCGATTTAGAACATTCTCCTCTATAGGCAACGTTCCATTTCACGCATTATGTGCATCATAAAAATTTTAGACGAGGAACCAAATTACAGGAAGCGATTAATTTCTGAAATGCTAAACATTAAAAAGCAGAAACATAGTCTTAATTTACAAACGGACACTGAAGATCTTCATAAATCATATATTCCCATTGTAAATAAAGTTTGAACTTTTGTTATCGCGATAATTGTCATACCGCTTAATTAGTTTAGCTTGTCCCATCACAGTATTTGCACGATAGTCTCAGAATACTTAGTCTTTTTATATTTTGTACAATAAGCTTTCGTGAAAATGATTTTTACTGTTATTTTTATTTTCATTTTACTCTATGACTTTCTTTTATTTTACTTAATAACTTGTGTATTGTAAACTGACAAATCGTTTTCCATATCATAAGTTTTTGTTGGTGAATTAAACATTTCTTTTAAATTTCACTGCTATTCACGTGTCGATATTGTTCAATTTTATGTTAAGTTACAGATACATTGTTTTAATATACGATTTTTCCATCGTGTATTATCAATGTCATGTAATAAAAGGAGAAATCGAGGAGTCAGTGAGAATTTTGATTTAACTGTATTTTTTGTTGGACATCTGAAGAGGACTCGAACCAAGAGTCGAAACTTGTCACGACATTCTTATACGATATATTATATTGACCGATTTTCGAATTTTTAATATTACATATCAAAAGTAGCTAAGTAGTATTCTTATTGTATTCTCGTTTATTAGTTTGATGTATATACATATTGAAATTCATATATTATATGTATATTTAATGTTACAATTGCTTTTTTGTTTACTTTATGATTTGACTCTTATTATCCTTCATCTTGTTAATTATTATTTTTATATAAAGAGTCCTTTAATTTTCACTTTATTTAAAATAAAAATAACACTTAAAAATAACACTTTAACTCAAAAAACACTTAACTTAAAATAACACTTAATTTAAAATGACACTTTAATTTAACTTTTAACCTGCGACTGCCACTTTAACTTAACTTTTAACTTTGAATGCGACTGACACTTGTGTTTCTACATGTGAGCATGCGTGAAGATGGCGGATTTCAGTTATTGCGCAGAACGTGACGAAAATGCGTCCGAGAAATGAGCACACCTTTATACTTCCATCATGATTATCAGAGGTTGATATTTACAAATATTGCGATAATGACATTGAGGTGATCAGTGTAATTTGTATCACACATCGAGAAAAAGAAATTCTAGGTTATATATACTGATCTTTTATACTTCATCAATAAAAATAACGAATTTTACTATTCGATCGTGGTGTAAAAATAATTATCAGATTATTTCTGAGTGACTATGGAAATAACAAAAAGGGAGAAAGAGAGTGAGAGTGAGGAAAGCATAATGAAAAAGCTGAACGATTATACTACATCAGTCTTAAAAACATTACTGAGAAATAAGAAACTTCCAACCAGCGGATTGAAGGAAGACTTGATAAAACGATTATTACAAGCATCCCAGCAATGTCCATTCGAGACAAACAAATTAAATTTTATATTAAGTAAAGGAGGAGAAAAACAAGCATCGCATCAAGTGGATGCCATGAGTCTTATTCACAGAAAGGCTGAATTATATCGGATCGAGGCTGAATTAAATTTGAAAGAAAAACAGCTTGCTGAGCGGGAATTGGCATTGGTTAAAAAAGAACTCAAGAACGTTCGACAAACCCAGGTAAATATGAATGCTCGTACACAAGAGAAAAGCCATTCGGAAAATCGACGTAGTGATACTAATACCTCGGTATCCAAACGAGATAAAAGCTGTATTAAACAACGAACGGAACGTGAGAGAGATCAGCCGAAAGTGTTGAAGCGTTGTCTTAATTGTGATCAACGTAATTCAGAAGCTAATTGTCTGCCAAAGTGCAAGGATACTAAATATAACAAGTATAACAAAAGAGAGGATGTCATCTTCAAACGCTATAAACATGAAGAAAAAAGGGATACTTATGCTACAGAGAGGCCTGAAAGAAGCTATTTTCGCAGAACCATCAAAACTGAAACTCCTAAACATTACTGCTATCAACGTCTATCTCGTTCTACGTACTAATGGAATTAGGCTACCTCCATATATTAAGACGCTGATGATGAAATCATTCTGGTACGTAATTGTACTATATACACAAATTGTTGATCAAAAATAAACATATATATGTATTTACATTATGATTATTAATATTTATATTTACATAATTTTTCTTTTGTTACAGCCAGACGTGATGTTCAATCTGTGACTCGTTTATGAATTTTTGCGGCTCCTCGGTTCATAACCAGAAATATAAAATCGTATTTTTTATTTTACGCAAATAAAATAAATACTGTGCGAATTAAAATAAACACATCCGCAAGAGTTTTTATTTTTGAAAATAGCCATTGAAAATATCGTTTAAAAAGGTTATATATTACTGGCCTAAAGTATCGATTAACATTGACATTTATATGCTTATAAACATACATTCATCAGTATATGTATAATTTAACGTTTCTACGGAAAAAGCTTTCTTTTCGAAAATAATAGTATTAAAATAATAAAATATGTTCCATTCTCTCTAGACGGTTTTCTAGAAATTGTAATAATGAATTGTTAATTTTATTATTTTTATGTAGCACACACACATATAAAATTTATTGTTTACAAATATAATAAGCATTTCTATTCTCAATAAAAAAATTAATAATAGACTCATATATTTTGCGACCCATTCCAATATGAAAAATAACTTGAGATAAAAATATTTGCAAATTCTCGCAAGTGCTTTGATACGCGTATATCTCTTCATATAGAATCTCGATTGAATAACTCTCTCAGGCGTATAAGGTAGGCTTCCACTACAATGCCTTACTGATGAGTCCAGTAATGGAAGCTGGGACGAAACGCCATAATTACGTAATATTCTTCGCAATATATTAGATTAATTTAAAAGATTTTAACGAATTTATTGGCTCATTGCTCTTGTTTCTTTATAGTAGTTTTTAATAACTTGAGATACTTGCTCTGTTTACAAAGTGAACGGTCCGAGTTCTGTATTCAGTGCAATAAAATTATGTCATGCATTTTTCATTACAGATACCTTATCGATGAAACATAAAATCATAAAGAATTTCGACACATAATTCGGTCATTATTAATGTTGTTTATATATAACTATTTGAACGGTCACATTCTAAACGCAAATGTTTTATGAAATTTATATTTACTGTATATAAAGAAGCACCGTTACCTCATAAAAATAACTCATTACCGTTAACGTTCTTTTTTCTAAAAAATAACTCGTTTTCGTTACTCGTTATTGATTTGCAAAAGTAACTCGTTACCGTTATCACATTACTCAAAATATAACAAATCGTTACTTTTTTTCTTGACACTAATAGAATATTATGTACAGATTTTTTTAATAAAAATAATATCAAAATTTTATTTTTTAGTAGAGGAATAGAACTAAAAAAACGTATATATACCGGGTGTCTCAGACCACCCGTCCACCCCTTTTATCTCGAAAGCAGAGCATTTTAGAAAGAAACGTTTCAGACAAAAGTTGTTTGACTCGAAGGGGGACATAAGATGGTGCCATCGATTTGACCTTGGATAGTCCTCTGAAGGTTACGTGAAGGTCACCTTTAATTTTTTAAATGGAATTATGTAATTTTTTTTAGATAGTGTAATTCCTCTAATTATTATGCATATATAAAAGTATTAAGGTAGAGATACCAAAAAACCAATAGTTTTCGAGATATTTTACACTTTATTTTGGTACATTTTGTGTCAATATGTATCAAAATAAAGTGTAAAATATCTCGAAAACTATTGATTTTGGTATCTTTACCTTAAAACTTTTATATGCAAAATAATTAGAGGAATCGCGTTATCTAAAAAAAAATTACATAATTCCATTTAAAAAAGTGGAGGTGACCTTCATATCTTTTTAGCGCTTCCACTTAGAAAAAAAATAACGTGACTAAAACGTGTCCCCCTCGACACCGTTCCATTTTTATTTGAAACATTTTTTCGTATTGTCAAAAACAAGCGAGTTATTCAGGTGACCTGTATTTTAAATGCCCCTCCCTGTATATTATGCGTTATGTAAGAAATTCGTCTAAGACTGGGTCCACAACCTCGCTTTAAGAGGCCCTAAGCCGTAAAGCCATAAGAAATTAACCAATCATAGTTGAATGCGAGAAAAATAATCTACTGTGATTGGTCAATTTCTTACGGCTTTACGGCTTTAGGACCTCTTAAAACGAGGTTGTGGACCCAATCTAGGACTTAAAACACCTATTGTATGAGTTATCCGGACTTATACGTTTATGCGGTTATGCATTTCATGTGCGATAGGCTTTAATATTACATCTATGACTCATGTAGATAAATTCTTGATAACTCCAGTATTTTTACGCTGCATGGGAATTTACGTCGTGCGGGGAATTACGCCACAGAAATCAGAAAAAATAGTAAAGAAAACTTTTATGTTAGTATATATCACATTGTGTAGTAATCATAGAGAAATAGTAAGTACGCATTGGAGGAGTGGGGGTAGTCCACATATAGAAAAGGACGCACTCATTTGGGCCCTCGCGTTCTTTCTCGTTTCGCGTGTATGTGTATATCATATCTGGTATACTCTGAGAGAGGAGATCGAAAGAGGGAATAAAGAATTGACACCATAATGATGTAACAGTTAAAAAGTATTTGAGAGATCGCTCAATCCCCTCTCTCAGAATATACGGCTATACGCAAAACGAGAGACAACGCGACAGCCCAAATGGGTGCGTCCTTTTCTATCCCTACTCCTGAACATTCTGATAATGCGTACTCTAGTACTACTATCTCTATAGTAGTAATACTGCGTAGCGCGCGATATATATAAGCATTTTTGCGTTTCGTGCACAAAAGCCATATATAAGTACATGAGTGCAATCAATTAATTATAATTACAATTACTGACGTATCAATGTCATAAGTTCTAATGTATCGACATAGATAAATATCGCAAACGATATTAAGACGGTGACTGAAACGTATCATGAGCGGGTGTTCGATTCTATATTATTTTATAATTAAAGTTACAGTTAAAAAAAAAAACATTTTTAATTTAAGGGCTTGTCCAAGATTAGAAACAAGATACGCTTGGTAAGAATCTTGGTATCCGTTTCAAGTGTGAACGATTGTTTCGTCGTGTTTAAGTGATAAAAAAAGTGGCTACTCAAAATGAGTAATTTTACCGTGAAAGAATTAAAACAGCAACTGAGAAGTAGGAATCTTCCAGTTACTGGTTTGAAGGCGGATTTGATAAATCGATTACAAACAAATTCGTCATATCAGTCTCATACAAGGGAATCAAGTAACAGTAGACTGTCGAATTTTACTGTATTAGAATTAAAGGATCAATTGAGAGCTAGAAACCTTCCAGTTACTGGCATAAAGACGGATTTAATAAATCGGTTGGAAACAAATCAAACAGACATGTCATATAAGCCCCAGACGTTCCAGAGAAACGAACCAAAAGTCATATTACATAGTAGAGAATTGCAAACAGTGAATATTAATAGCAAATGGAACACGGCTTATGAACGACCTATGATGGACGGCATATATATCAAACCAGAAGCGCATGCTGCAAATTCAACGAATATTGCAACAAGAACATTTACCGATCATGTAAATATGATTCAATTTGAAGGTACCAAAACAATGGGTGCCGCAAAGATAACTAACATGGCAGCAAGAAGTTCTACGAATATGAATACGATTCAGTTTGAACGTACCGAAACGACGAAGGATGTCACAGAAGTAATGAACGCGACAGCAGGTAAGTCAGGTAAGGCCATCGATTTAAATATGATTTGATTTGCAGAAACATTTTGAGAGATCGCCCGACTGTGGCAGACGTGTTTTGCTTCGCAGCGATCTGAGTGTTACATCAGGTTTTTTTTCGTTATGCATTATATATTAATCAGCATGTAGCAACCGCGGCTATAAGACGTGTGTGTGAAGGAAAAAAAGCAAAAGTACAAACTGAGACGCCAGGTTCACGCAGCGTCTCACTTTGTCCTAGACAATTTGGCGTGAACCTGGCGTCTCAGTTTGTACTTTCGCTTTTTTTCCACTTTAGAGGGCAGAACTATTAGTTTTATCTATCAGGAACTATAGAACTATTGAAAATACATTCAGAACTCTCAATATTTCATGAGTTTCCACTAAATGATACGCCAGCTTCACACACACATAAGACCATGGTGTAAGAAGAATGGTGAAACATTGCGCATAGTAATGGCGGTGCCAATAAAATTTAGGTCCATATACATCCCCTAAAAATATTAATGATAACAAGGAACAATCATATTGCTTTTGAACATTTGGATCCGATTCTTATTGGTCGACTACTGCGCATCCATGATGTTGTTTCACCTTTCTTCTTACACCATGCATAAGACTTTCATCTTCTTGGGATCGATTGTGTATCTCGAAATGAAGTGAAAATTACAAGAGTGAGCAAATTTACTCTAGAATATTATTAATTTATTTTGGTCAATATTTAGTGAATTTGCTCATTTTTATCATTTTCATCTCATTTCGAGATACTCACAATCGACTCCTTGATCACTGAATACAAAAATAGCCTTAGCCGTATTTGCTTCTGGTTGGATAACGAAAAAATGGCTCATCTTATTTTTTAGCATAAGCGTGGCCGATTTTAACTGTGCTATTTGTATTTGTATTTGTCCAGATAGTGTTTTTTTTCCTCAGTCTATCTTATATCTGCTATCATTTTTTCTGCTTTTTTTTTTTTTTTATCGTACCCGGCGTGTATAGCCTAGAATTGTAAACTACAAGATTCCTCTACCAGCAGCGTAACTGAATCCAATGCATTCCAACAAAATTACTTAATATATCACTGTGCATGCTTTGATGTTCGACATATTTGACGCTCCCGTCAGGGTACCTTAGGCCGAAATCAATGCCCTATATGCATTGAAGATTAAGGGGATCCTAAAGCCTCCTGTATTACCGACTAAATCGTATAATTTTTGTATCGTAAATACTTTTTTTGTCATTCACAGGTTCGAAAATCCTTTTACAGAATTAAAGTATACGCGTGCCTGTGAGGTAGAATCTATGCTGAAAACGATAAAAAATTTCAAAATTGAGTTCTTCTTTACCATTTTTTAGTCCAATATGGCGCTCCAGAGCTGTCACGTCGTTGCATGTCGTAACAACATTTTTGTTTTATGGGCCTTCTATGAGCCTTCTACAATAAGCCATAAGTTATAAATCGGAAGTAAGA